GACTCACTGGAAAAGACCCTTGATGCTGGGAAAGATTGAGGGCAGGAGGAGAAGGGGACGACAGAGGATGAGATGGTTGGATGGCATCACCAACTCAATGGACATGAGTTTGGGTGAACTGTGGGAGTTGGTGATGGACAGGGAGGCCTGGCGTGCTGCGGTTCATGGGGTCGCAAAGCGTCAGACACGACTGAGTGACTGGACTGAACTGACTGATATACATACGCGTATATCTGTTCTTTTTCATATTCCTTCCCATAACAGTTTATCAAAGGATGTTGAATATAGTCCCCTGTGCTTATACAGTAGGACTTTATTGTGTATCTAATATAGTATGCATCTGCTAATCCCAAGCTCCTAATTTACCCCTCCCCTACCCACTTTCCTCTTAGTAATCGTAAGTTTGTTTTTTATGTCTGTGAGTCTGTTTCTGTTTTGTAAATAAGTTCATTCATATCCTAATTTAGATTCTACATATAAGTGATACCATGTGGTATTTGTCTTCCTCTTTCTGACTTATTTCACTAGCTCCGTCCATGCTGCTGAAATGGCATTATTTCATTCTTTTTTATGGCTCTGCCGCTCTAGGTCCCGGAGCTGGGATTCATATCGCTTAATCTCAGCTGTGATGTAGTCCAGCCTTTTCCCCACTGTGGCCCGAGCTTCCCCCAGCTCCTGTTTGACCAGCACCGGGCCCAGAAGTTTAAACACCACGTTGGACCCATCCAGCAGGGCCAGTTCCTCCTTCACGGTATTATTCTCTGTTAGTTGTGCCTCTAGTTTCTGCTTCCCTGACATGGATATACTCAAGTCCTTCTGCAGCTGTTGATATTTCTCCACCTCTCCCTGGAGCTTCTTCTGGATTAGCTCAGCCATGGCGGGGACGAAAGCCGCCGGCCTCAGGGAGTGGCAGGCAAGACGGAACCCCGAACCCTTCAGCCAAACCGCTCCCCGACTCACGCTGTCTTCATTGTAGTTTTAATTTGCGTTTCTTGAATAATTAGTGATGATGAGCATCTTCTCATGTGCCTATTGGCCATCTGTATGTCTTCTTTGGAGAAATCTCTATTTAGACCTTCTGCTCATTTTTTGGTTGGGTTGTTGAACTTTTTTGTTACTGAGTTGCAGGAATTGTTTTATATTTTGGAAGTTAAGCCTTTGTCGGTCAATCACTTGCAGATATTTTCTCCATTCTGTACATTATGTTTTCATTTTGTTTGATTTCCTTTGCTGTGCAAAAATGTATAAGTTTGATTAGGTGCCATTTGGTCTTGGGATGTTTGTTTTTGGTTTTATTTTGGTTTTGATTTTTCTTCTATGGCTTTGGGAGACTGATCTGAGAAAACACTGGTACAATTTATGTCAGAGAAAGTTTTGCTGAGTTCTCTTCTAGGTGTTTTATGGGGTCATCTTTTATATTTAGATCTTTAAGTCACTTTGAGTTCACTTTTGTGTATGGTGTGAGGGAGCTGTATTAGTTTTCTAATTACAAGTTACCACAAATGTTCTGGCTTAAAACAACACAAATTTATCATCTTGTAGTGCTGGAGTTCAGAGGTGCAAGATGGGTCTCACTCAGGCTAAAATCAAGATGTCAGCAGAGCCACATTCCTTTTTGAAGGCTCCAAGGGAGAATCCATTTTTATGTCCTTTCCAGCTTCTGGAGATCACCCACATTGCTTGGGTCATGGCCCCATTCTCTCACTTTCAAACCCAGCAACATTCAGTTGACTGGAATAAGATGAAGGGTGGGAGTTGGAGCAGCCATCATAAACACTAAATAGAAGCCACATTAAAAAAAAAAAAAAAAACAGTAGCAGAGACTTCTCTGGTGGTCCAGCAGTTAAGACTCAGAGCTCCCAATGCAGGGGACTCAGGTTTGATCACCGGTCAGGGAACTAGATTCCACGTGCCACAACTAAAGATCCTGCATGCAGCAACTAAGGCCTGGCACAGACAAATCGAAAACAAAAAAAAAGTTGCAAGACAGAAAGAGCCTGAGTCTTGACGATGGCAGAGCCACCATACTACCCCAGTTTAACTTTTGTTAAAGCTGCAGTATTATGACCTTATTACTGCGTCTGAACTAGTATCTTAATACACTTGTCCACTTCATCTTGCTAGCTCACTAAATATAACCTCCATATAATCAATTATTCAAGCCAAAAACCTGAGTCGGTTTTGATTCGTGCTTTTTCTTCAATCCTCACATCAATAAGGCTTTGAATTCTATCTCCAGGATATATCTTGACTTCCTCCCTCTCTCCCCTTCTCCTTAGCTGCACCACTGTGATTCATCACTTAGATGTCAGCAACAGCCTCCTGACTAAACCTCTCTACCTCCACCCTTACCCCTTCCAAGACACCCTCCCTTCAGCATTTAGACAAGTGATATTTTCAAGGTATATATCTAATCAGGTCAGCCAGTCTGCTGCTTAAACCCTTAAGTGTTCTCCAGTTGCACTTTGATGCAGAATCCAAACCCTTTCCCAGGACCTATATGCACCCCCCAACCCCACCTCATCCCGTTCCACTTTCCTCCTCAATACCACACAGCCATGCTGGCCTCCTTTATGGGACACACAGTTTTTGCCCAGCTCAGAGCTTTCATCCTCATGGCTGCTCCCTCTGCTTAGAACCCCATTCTTCTTGCTCTTTGCTCAGCTGACTCCTGCTCATCCTACAAATCTCAGCTCACACGTCTCTTCTCAGGGAGAGCCTTCTTATCTACCCGACTCAGCGCCCAGCCCCATCTCCCTTTCCACCAGTTACTTCTGTCACCCCACCCTATTTATTCCCTCATTGCACTTACTGTGCTCTGACATTATTTATACACTTGTTTACTTGTGTATATCGTTCCCACCTCAGAAAAATGTAAGCTCCATGAAGCCTGAGAACTTGTCAACCATTAGCATTCACCATTTTCTCCCTGGGGACTTGAACAATAATAACTGGGCAAACAGATGGAATCCAACGAATGAAGCTCAGATGACTTCATGAGTGAACTGGATGAATGAATGACTGGATGAATGAGTGGTGAAATTAGCCACTCCTTTCCTAGGAAGGAGCAAGAAACAAACCAAGAGAAGCTAGAAGGGTTCACTCAGATCCTGTCTCCTGAGGAAGAAGGGAGCAAAGTCCTCTAATGGAAAGAGGCGCAGGGGGAGGGTTGCAGATAAGGGCGTCCCTCCCTGAGAGTGGTTGGGAAGAAAAGATCCCGGCAAGGGCTGAGAAACTTTTGCTCAAAGGTCCAGTGCTCACTTCCCCAGCCTTTATAGGATTAAGGCAGAGATGAGACCACCTTACCAGGGAACAAGGCACAGCATCAAATGTGCAGGCACTGCAGTGCGGGAGCCTGAGGTTGTGTCTTAAGAAGGGCTTCTCAACACATGTAGTTGTTGTTGTTTAGTGTCTAAGTCAGGTCCAACTCTTTTGGACCACTTGAAGTGTAGCCCATCGGGCTCCTCTGTCCATGGGATTTCCCAGGGAAGAATACTGGAGTGGGTTGCCATTTCCCACTCCAGGGGAGCTTCCCTACCCAGGGATCAAACCCACATCTCCTGCATTGGCAGGGGAATTCTTTACCACTGAGCCGCCAAGGAAGCCTCTGTACAGGTAAGGGAACCCCAGAATCAGGACTTTCTATTACTAGGGGTGAGGGAAGTGTCTTTAAAAAGAATATCCCCCACTAGACTTCCTACATAGAATATGCAATTCCATCACGGGGAGACAGGAGTGGGGACAGAACAACCTCCACAGAGCCTCCTGCCTGTACTCCCTCACCCAGTGAGACAGGAAAGCTAAGGCGTCTTTCTGGTGGTCTGGCCCAGAACCAGGACAGACACTGGTTCTCTCCACTGTCGGCTCCATCTCCCCTGTCCCAGGGGCCCTTCTCCTCCAAGGGGAATCACGGAAGCTTCCATTCATAAACTCCAATGCACAGTTTCAGAACAACCTAGGATCCCAAAGAGTCCTTAAAGGTCCAGCTCTGGGCCTAATGTAAGGATCCTCCAGACAGCCTCTGGGTACTTAGAGGCTAAGATCTCCTTACACACATGCAGCTTCTTCCAGGTTTGGGCAGCTCTGCTTATAAGAGGTTCTTCCTCTGAGCCAGCTGAAATCTCTTTCTTTCACACCAGCATCACTAGCTCAGGCCGGTTGTTCCCACGTGACAACCTTTGAAACATCTGAAGGCAAGTATCATTCTAATAATAAATGCTGCCATTTAATGATGCTTACCAGGCACTGTGCTAAACATTTTATGTATATTATCTCATTCAATCCTTGCTGCATCCCTATCTTGGAGGAATTATTGGTCCCATTCTGGAGATTAGGGAAAAAGCTTGAGAAGTAATCAGCCCAGGGTCACCCAGGTATTGGAAGAATCGGGATTTGTTCCAAGACTGATCTGACTCCATCCAAAGCCCATGCCCCCACTTCTCCTGTTATGCAAGGTCATCCATCCTTAACAGAATCGTCTTTAGTCCTGTCTGGATGACACCAAATCCTTCAAGCATTTCTTCTCTGAGAAGCTCAGGGCACCCATCTCCCCATTTGCTCAGATAACTTCCAGGTTCAATAAAATTCTTGCATCATCTAGCCTCAGACCCTCTTTTGGAGACTGGAGAGTGAAAAGGGAACTCTGCTTCTGTGACAGCAGAAAATGGAAGTCTTCCCAAATGTCCCCCACTGGGCCCCAGTGCCCCCTCAGTCCTCAAACAGCCCTGATGACCCCCCAGATCCCACTACTCCCACCTCCCTTGTCACCTATCAACTCCCCTGTCTCCCAGGATTTGTCAGTCTGGCTCCTCCTTCTCATGCCTCTTCTACCCCAAAGGTCCACTCATTTGTAAACAAACCCAACTCCAATTTCCTGTCCTCCGTGAAGCCTTCTCCAGCTCCTTCCCCTCCCTCATTTCTCCTGTGCCCAGCTTCCCTGAGATATAACTGACATACACCACTGCATACACTTAAGGTGTACAATGTAATGACTTGATATATATATATACTATGAAATAAGTACCACAATAAGTTTAGTTAGCACGTCCATCACCTCACATTGTTACAATTGTGTGTATGTGTGTGTGATAAGAACATCTAAGGTCAATTCTCTTAGCAACTTGCAAATGCACAATACAGTATTGTGAACTGTAGTCACCAAGCCATATGTTATATCCCAGAACTCTTTTATTTCACAGGTAGAAGAGGGCACCTTTGGATCCCCTTCATCCATTTTCGCCTCCCCCATGCCTGGCAACCGTTAGCCAACTCTCCGTTTCTATGGATTTGACACAAAGCGCTTGTTTCTGCCTGTACAGTAGCAGTTGCTCTTTTGCATTTCATCACGTCTCCTGCAGCTCTGGCTAGGCTCCTCTGGGGCAGAAAGTGTGGCTTTAATGACTAGGCCTGTTACAGAGTAGGTGTTTGGTAACTGGATGCTACTGTCAAGTGCAGACTGACATCTTCGATCCTTCAACTGGAAGAATGGTGGTTAGACTGCAGAAAGTCAGAAAGCAGGGCCAACAGTAAAGAGCCAGTTGAGATACCAGAAGAGTGAGACCCTCCACATGGCCCAGCACCTGGGCATCACCTGATCTCCAGGAACTGAATGAAAGAATCCAGCCTCCATGAGTCTAAGTAAGGAAATAAGGTTTGAAGCCGGATCTGCTTCTCCCTGATGACCATTCCACCTCAGGGCTATGTGCTTGGTATTCTCGCCTTCCTGACACAGAGAAGATGCTGGTATGAATTTAAAACTTAGTGCCCCTTTCTCCAGGCACAATCTTAACTGTCCCAAATGATTTTGTAACAGAATATTAAAATCAGAATTTCAACTGTGCCCCAAGATACAATAGATGACATTTCGAATCATCATATGAAGAATTTCAAAG